TTCCTAGTGGTGAACAGAGTTAATTCTCTGTTTTTAACTCTTTCTCGGTAAAGCCACAATCCCTCAGCATTGAAGGTGAGCTGCAGGGTGCTAACCTAGAGGCCACTAAGGTAAGGAGACTGCGTACTCAAACAGGTGCTGATCTTCCCTGAGGGAAGAATGGAAACAGGGCAACGTGCCAGAAAACTGACAAGCTTGTCACTTATGATCAAAGCAAGCACCAGGACCAGATTATCAACATGCCCACCATTTAAAAGCACCGAGTGATTTATCACTTCTCTGTCAGTGGTAAAAACGATTGCCTTAAATACTGGAAAACATTAGACATGTAAAACATGTCACATATTTTCCAAAGTATACAGGTGTAGATATATATATATATATATATATATATTTAAAAACATATAATATTTAAATCCCCAAGGGGAAAGGAGGGTTTTTTTGCTGCTGGAACGAATTGCAAGTTACAACAACCCATTCTAGTAAAATCCTATAAACGCATAAGTCTGCCTGGAATCTATTGATCTTTCCTTCTGAGGGTCATGGCAAGTCCCAGCAACTGTTCTCCTAGGGCCTATTTGATGTAGAAATTAACAAACTGTCTAGTTATACTTTACCCCTCTCTCTGCTGTTAACACATTATAGAGATAGTCAAATAACAAACTACATAACTTGGCTTTTGACTTTTTTTTTTGTAGAAAGCTATGGGAAATACTATCCGTTATTGGGCAACAGGGAATGGGGGACATGTCAGCAGTCATGACATTCACTTCAACCAGTAACTGGTTGGCAGTCTTAGCCAATACATAATATTGTATTCACATGAGGGGGAGGGAGAAATACTGATTCCATGTAACTGTATGACATCTCACATATATACCCAGCAAATATAGACCAAAATCAGCAGCAGTCATTATTAAATTTACAAGCACTCATGTCTCCCATTAGTTTTACCCAAATGGAATGAAAGGCAATAGCAGCTTTATGGTTTATAGGCAAGCAGCTCAACTGACTTCCATGGGAAACTGCTGTGCATATACATACGTCTGTAGTTCCTGTTTGAAGATATAAAGTAGGGGGTGGTGCATTGGTTTTGTGTGCAGGAAAAACAAAACTGTGTTTAAAAGGATTACTACTTATATGCTGATTTTGCAAATGCATGGTTGCAACTCAAGTACCTAAAGTGATCCTTGAAGTTTATTCTAAATGGTTGATTGGGGTGGACTACAAACCTGTGCAAAACGCATTGCACTGAATGCCATTATTTTTATAGCAGGTGCTTAGAATGTAGTTCTTAAAAAAAATAAAAAAAAGATTAAATACATTATAATGTGCATTTGCTAAAACGGACACAATAAGCACCAAAACAGCCAAAGCTTAATTTTGAAAAATTGGGGACTAGATGCTGTTGCCACACTGTCACAAATGTTAGCATTGCCATTTATCAGAGATGTTATTGCTTACATTTATCAGGCAGTGTGCAACTAGTGGCTGTCAAACTTCATGATGACCTCAATGCAGTCCCCATAGATACATAGAGAAGCATTGTAATGTGTCTTTATGTGAAGAATCCTATTGGTGCTGCTAGGTGATTGCAGTACATGTAAGGCCGGTCCCTCAATATTTCTCTATGGAGAAGCATTCAATTGACCTAGATCAGGGGTGCCCAAAAGGTAGAGCCCCTTAGATGTCATGGAACTAAAACTCCCATGATGCTTTGCATGCCTTTTGAATGCTTTTAGAATGACAAAGCATCATGTGTAGTTTTAAAACATCTGGGGATCTACATTTTGGGCACCCCTGGCCCAGATCATCAATCTTGAGCAGTGTATGCACTAATACTAGGACGCTGCTGGTTGAATTGTGAATTTAACTTTCTGCCAAGCTAAAACCAATTAAACTAAATTCTTATTTCTAAAGGCCTCATTCAAAAGTCAACTGAGTTTATAGTTTTTGTAAAAACACCCACATAATGGAGGTTTAAATTTTTTATACATTAACTTCAGTAGGCACTTAAAGATCTTTTTTTTTTTTTATAAAGAATATGTGTGCATTGTATCAGAACTGACAGCTAACAAAATGCGCTATTAGTTAAACAATGGTAAAAGGTTTGAGGTAGCAATCCCATCATTACAGTGTGATCAGTGTCACAATGCACAGTTTCAAGAAAGGGACATGAAAACAAAGTTCTGTGAGAACATTTGCATAGATTCTGGTTGCTTTGGGCTAAAGCCCGTGGCGGATCTAATAAATTGGATATAGTCTTCCAGATTTTGTTCAAGATGCGAGGGTCTGTGCTTATTTCGAAGGCTCTCTTTGAACATTTCTGGCTTAGGAAAATACCCTCCTATTGCCTCAACCAAGATGAAATCGAACAGGATTAGCTGCTGGAATTTTCAGAGCTGCACACAAAACATCAGCCTACATGCAGTGCAGTGAGAAACGGAGGGGATTGTATCAGTTATCAATGACATCATGTGCTAGATACACAAGGAAATGGTTGGATTAGGGCTGACAAATAAAAACATTCACTTCTACTCATTTATTTTGCAAAAAGCAAAGCCGTTTAACCCTTGTAGTGCTAGAGGGTATGTATTATATTGTCTTGCATTCCATTGGCACTGAAAGAGTAAAGGATAATTAGCTATATCAATGCCTGGCATGTCAGAGCAATCTCTCTGATGAAGAAAGATATCTTCTGAGCCACTCCCAGAGAGCCCACGCCCCTACAGACTGTCTGAGAACAATTTAGCCCTTTAACATACGGGTAAAATAACAAAGAGATACCCTTTGGCAAAAACCTAGAAAATAAAGATGTATAAACTATTTAAGATGTTTTTCATGCTCTCTAGATACACATAATTGGCAGTGTGTGTGTGTGTGTGTGTGTGTGTGTGGGGATTATATAAGTGTATAAATATTTTTAATGAAAATTTCATCTTTCATCTAATTCTGTTTTGTATAAAATGTTATATGTTTTATGTCTTTCCGAGTTCTTAGTCTATAAGATACAATTCCAGTGGGAAAACTGTATTTTTCTATGTTGTAAAATAAATTACAATACAATTCAGACTGCACAACATTTAGATTTTCCAATAATATTCACTAAAGTTAATATTATCACAAAAGTTGCAGGTAAAAATGAAAAAACAAACACAATATTTTCATTGTTTCCAACATGATATAGAGGTATACTTACTAAACAACAAGTTGTTGTTACTTAAAAACTGGCATTTAAAATTTACGCTAAAAAAGTTTTTATACAAATCTACAATTTCTTCCATGCTGCCTATTTTACCTTGAATTTTGCAAATCGCAAATGGATTTTTTTTTTTTTAAATGGATATTTCTTGTGAGATCTATTTGTTGTGCAGTACAGCAGAGAATGGGGTCATTTATCTTTTTTTGGATATGGCCTTTGAAAAGACTTCACAGCTGAGAGATCTGTCCAAAGATTGGTTTTATGATTCACAGGCTTTGAAAGCAGATATAATATAAGAGCAGATTACCACTTTAAAAGTCTATCCATGTCATATGTTAACAGGTAGAGTTTCCTGCCCTATTCCTCAAAATACAGCCTTTATATAGTTTTCAATTTTCGATCTCAGTAGAGAAGGCAGATCATCTTTAACCTCTGTGGTAGAAACTAAAACTTTGAAAAACAACAATCGTAGGGAGTAGTTGGTTATAAACATCATGGCAAAAGATTGCAAAACAATATGAGCTGGGGTCTATTTACTAAACAGTTAAACTAAGGTGGAGTTTTTTTGTGTTTTTTTCAAATTGTTTCGGCCTAACTTTTACAGGTCATTTGCCAACTCACCCCAGCTCATTGTTTATAGACTAAACCTCTGAATGCAATTCTGGAGGGTAAATAGTTACTCCATTTTTAACTGTTTTTATTCCGTTATATTTTCAGAAATTAAGTTAATATGCAAATTCCCTTGTCCCTTTAGTTATATCTTAAAAGCTAGCACAAGAACGTCACTTAATTTAAAGTTTACTCTGCAGTGCTTTTAAAAAAAATGTACATTCACAAACACATAGAAACTAAATATCATTTTTTATTTACTTAATAAAACAGTAAGGCATTAAAAATAATCATATATTACAAATATATACAACAGAACTGTGCTTGTTCAGCACAGCGAAAGAGCGATACACAGTACAAAAGTTTCCCTTTGCAGTATCTAGTGCTGTTTGATCTATTCCAGAGTAGAATTTGTTTCACAATAGAAAGAGTCAATAAACCCTTTCAATTGATCCATCTCCCTTTTTAACTAAACAGTCCCAGTGTATAACATTTGGCCTGATTTCCATAAAAAAGCAACAAAGTAAGACTAGAAGTAGTTCTCTTGAATGGAAAGCTTTTGTAGTCTTCTTTAAAAGAAAAAGAGGAGATATTGCACATTATTTCCCATTTGCAGTTTTTCACACAGTACTATATTAATGCACTGTTTTTATAACAGTGACTGCCTGAACTAGCTCTCTAGTACCCAAACAGTTAACAAAACATTTATTTTTTTTCAATTTTGGAAACTGTTTTTTTTTTTTTCTCAAATGATCACCTGTCAGATTATTATAATCTTGGTCTGAGCAGTGGCCTTCAGGCTAATGCTAGACTTAAAACTCCCTTTACACGTTGGACGCTGCAAACTAACAAGGGCCTGGGAACCATTGTTTTTCCGCCTATTACTTTAACTGATACTTGTGCATACTTAAAAAACACAAAGTGACAGTGGCTGATCCAGTTTACTTACAAGTAAATTGGATCAATTTAAATGGGATTATACATCTGACCACAGATTAGTACAAGAAGTAGACCCTTAGTAGAAGGTCCTATATCACCAGAAAAATTAACCTTTGTTTTCCTATTTAATATTTTGCAAAGTGATCATTTTTTATCCGCTGTCTTTCTATCGTATGGTGCATTATACAAAAAAAAATGTCTGGTTCGGTTTTAAAAGTGTGTAGAACAAGTGTCTTTTTTAAAATTGTGTTTATACACAGGTCGGAGAGGGTAAGGCAGACTCATACTTCCCATGGTGGATTTTTTGTGGCTGTTGTGTTTTTTTGTAGATCCCTGTACTTGCTGTGATGACGCTGGCAGGTTTTCGTCTGTTCCTTTTCTTTAATCTCTTACTGAAAACATTCTGCCAGGATTGTACAGTTTTGGAGGTCCATATCCACATGCCACTAGTGATGCCCACCACTAAGAGCATAAATATTTTCACCATGAAAATTTCTACTGCTGGTATAGAGTTAGTCATGGTGCAGTCCAAAACCTTAGTTTGGTTGTTTAGCTTGCATTTGTCTTGTGTGGCTAGAATTTTCCAGTACTCCATATTTAGTCGTTCATAGAAGTAACAGGCTATGACACATGTGGCAGGTACAGTGTACAAGACAGAGAAGACTCCTATCCTCACCATAAGTTTCTCCAGTTTGTCTGTGTTCTCACCACCAGTTTTCATCACTTTCCTGATGTGGAAAAGAGCGACAAATCCAGACAAGATAAAAGAGGTCCCTATGATGAGATAACAGGCTAAGGGGATGAGCACAAACCCAGTAAGAGCATTAACGTCCATGCTTCCTACATAGCAAACCCCTGTTAACTCATCTCCTGCCACCCTTCTCATCACTAGGATCATAATAGTCTTCACAGCTGGGATAGCCCAGGCAGCCAGGTGGAAATAACTACTATTTGCTTCAATGGCTTCATGGCCCCACTTCTTTCCGGCAGCTAGAAACCATGTTAAGGTTAAAATCACCCACCACAATGAACTCGCCATACCAAAATAGTAGAGTATAAGAAAGACTATTGTGCACCCTGTGCTCTCCAGACCTTCTTGGATAACATAGAGCTGACCACTGTCCCTGTCACAGGCAATACTGTCAGCTCCAACAAAAAGGCGAATTATGTATCCCAAAGAATAGACACAGTAACACATGGACAGGAAGATGATGGGCCTTTCAGGGTACTTGAAACGCTGGGGGTCTATGAGAAAGGTCAGTACTGTGAAAGCGCTGGAGAAGAAGCACAGCATGGACCAAATAGCAATCCAAATAAAGGCAAACTGTTTGTCCTCCTTGCTCCAGTAGACATCAACTCCAGATGTGCACAAAGGGGCGCAAGATGCACTTTTCTCAACATGGTGAAACTTTCCAGAGTTCTCACAGTTTGTTCTGCTGTGGATCTCTTTAGGCTGGAGATCTTGGCCACTGTTGGGTCTTTGTGGGCGAAATATTGGAGGCAGTATGCTTGATCCCCTGGGCGCCTCATCAGAACCATTGTTAGGGGCTTCCATGCACAGATAGTTTGGGTCATTCTTGTTGGGTAGTTTGCTACAGTCCAAAGAGTCTGGCCACTTGAAGTTAAACTGTTCCATAATAGGGGAACACTTGACCCTGGCCTGCTCACACATCACCCTGCAGGCTGGGATAGGGGTGGAAACTTGCTCAGTGCACATTGGAGCATAGAGTGAGCAAAGGAAGAACTTCAGATGGCTGTGACAGCCATACTCCACCAGTGGAGCAAACTCATGGAGCTGGATGGCTGCCTCCTTCTGATTCTCATGCCCCATCAGATTGGGCATTCTGGTCATGTTGTAACCAATATCCTTGCACATAGGGATTTCTATGTGCTGACATTTCCCGTCACCAGTCCTATCCGTGTCTATGGAGCTTATCCCTAAACACATGCACACCCCAAGCAGCAGAGCCAGAGCAGATTTGCAGAGCTGTCCTGTAACATCCATATCTGCAGCTCAGAGGGGAATTGTCCTTTAAAGTTTAGTCAAACAGGCTGAGGCTTTAATGCAGTGTGACTGAGACGGAAGTCAGAGCTGCATAACTCCCTTCAAATGGATCAACCCCAAGGCAGTTTCTGTTCAAAGATAAAACCTGATTGTGCTAGCAGACAGACATGGTTCAGCTGCATAGGAACACACACAAGCAACAGCAAAGTTGCAGCAGACACGGGGTAATAATGTTCCAGGAATGGTCAGCTCCACTTTGTCCTGGACTTTGTATCCTGGAAATAATTGTCCACCGGTCACTGTCTCTCCCACAGGTATCTGTCGCTGCTCATTGCACATGCCCCAGGAATAACCTGCTGTTGATAGCCTTGGCTGGAATCTTGAGAGCTGTCTTTCCTCCTCCTGTCTGTTCCATGCGAATGTGCTCTAATTTCCCAACGTTCTGAGATCCCTTCACGCTTGCAGCCTGTGTGGAACTGCAGACACTCCCCCCTCACTCTGCTCTCTGGCGTTTCAGCAGCTGTTTTGGGGGCTGTGTCCCGGGATATAGATAAAAAAAAACACGGTTGGAGATCCGCCTTTCATACGACATCTACTTTGCATAAGAAAGGTGAAGCTGACACGTTGATTACTTTGCAATGGGTCGGAACGCCTGCAGTCATCCACCAAAGGACCCCTCTTGCACTTTCTCTTTTCCCCTCCTCCTGCAAATGCTGTGAAAGTTGTAAAAGGGGCTACAAAGTAATCTGTTTTAAGGGCAGGTAGGAAGTGAGTGGGGAGGGGAGAGGTAGGAGACTTTAATTGTTTGTAAACAATTCACTTGGCTTTTGAAGCTCTTTTGTCTCTGTTTGTGTTTGTACAGGGTGTACAAAAAGCAGTGCTGTTTATAGCTACATCTATACTCTGTGATCAATGGTTTTTACACAAGCACCCATTGTTTACAAATGACCTCAAGCTCTGCAAGATGCAAACATTTTCAAAACTGCTCGTCTCGACTACGAACATCAGTACACAATCTGACCATAAATCCCTCTAATCTCATAAAAGTGATGTAGTGAAAAATATCTGTGGTAATATATGGCTCAGGTACTGGCAATTACATTAGTTAACACATATTATGTTTATTTAAACTTCAAACTAGTTGAGGTTATTCCCTAAACACCACCTTTTAGTTAATTAAATAAGAGTGACAAAATGGAGGCGAAAATAGCCAACCTGTGAGTATAGTTGAGTTGAAAATATCCTTGATTATCATTTTTGGCTCAGTTTTCTCTTTTGGGTTAAATTTACAAAAATTCTGTGTTTAGTGAATACCCCAAGTCTGTTGACAAAGGAATTGCCAATTGTATTACAAAATAATCAAACTGGGGGAAAAAAACGCCTCTCCGATTTAGCTTATTTTTTAGCCAATTTAGAAATATAAATGTCACTTGCAAATTCTCCAAAATTCTTGGTTTATCGAATAAACCTTTAGGGGTACATGCAATAGATATAATATCTATACACATCTATGTATGTAGGCAACTAAAAAAAATGTATGGTTTTTCTCCCACGAATGCTAGAGATTTGTATAAATTACAACCATAATGTTAATTATATATAGAGCAGGGCCCCCTGCTGCCAGGCTTTTTGATGTGCTGAGTTTCAAACGAATAAACTGTTATCTCCAACTAGCACTCTGCCAGAAAAATAAAATAATCCAGCTGGAAGGCTGGTGGATGACTTTATACGCTATATTCTTAATATGTTTTTTATAAAGCACCAACATACGTTGCAGCGCTGTATAATGGACAATTAAAAGCACACATGTAAATGATGGCAAACAATTTTTACTGGAAAACAAGGTGGCGAAAGTCCTGTTCAAGATTCCTTTCTAAAAGACTTTGGATATAATTAAACAAAAGGAAACTTACCCAGAAAGGAAGACAGACTGCTAGGTACACAAGCCATATAATACCTTGTAGGGGTTTATTTGCTAAATTTGGAATTGTGGAACTTTGACGCATAAAGTGCAAAATTGAATCCAAAACATTTGAGAGTAGTTGGAGAATTTTTCCAATACAGAAATTTTGACCTAAAAATGTTCAACTCTCCTCTTAGTTCTCTCAAATTCCCAGTTTACTAAATAGACATAAATTACTTATGATATATTATTTATATAAAAAAGTTACATTATCAAATAATAAAATAAACCTCATAATGTATGCTAAAAAAGAATTATAATAAAAAAAAATCAATATGTATGTTAAATGTACTAAATGTTTGTGTCTGTTTGTATGATGAGAGGAGGTATGATTTGTGTTAGAGATGAAGACCATTAGAGGTTGCACACAGTCATATGCTAAAGTTCAATATGACAGTTACAACAAAAGACTCTAAACAGAATCACTGTGTTACAACAGCTTTTCACAACACTTTGGTCCCATAGTATCTTTATCAAGCCTTAAAATCAGATCAAAGCATTGTCAACATGTGTGAAATACATAGAGAAGTGTAGAGTTTTCTATTATAATTAACAAGTTATACAGTCTTTTAAAATTAATTAATAAACAAATAAATTGACATGGATAATTGTTTAGCAGCTGGCTGACACAGTAAATACCAGTTGAATTCTAACTGCAGGTTATTTAACAAAAAAAACCTTTTATATACAGAATATATTTTCTCTCTTTTAATTCAAACTCAAAATAGCATTAATCCTTTTTTAATTTTTTTTAGCAAGTTGGGTGATGGCGGCAATAAAAGACTAGCTATTGGTGCAAAGTTTGTGTATAGTAAATAAATAACTATTGAATTATTGGATGACCTAAAAAAAAAGAAGGTTTATGAATGGATATTAATCCTATCAGCTGTGTTCTAGCTCTGTTTTCTCTATTGAAAAGTCCTGAAAGGTTTCCCATGACAAACAGAATGGATTTCAGCTTTTTAATACCTTGGAGCCAGCATGACACCTCTAGGAAAAGGGTTAAATTAAAGGTCTCCTATGGTCACTTGCTCTCAGGAAGTGGCATCATCTATCACGAGTCTTTAAAAGAATACAAAAAAAAAATCTCTCAATTGAAGAGTACTACAGAATAATATAGTCTCAAAATCAAAAAGAAGTGTTAGGGATAGAAGGTTTGCTCATTTGACAAAAGCTTCTTTAAAAAAACACCACAGCTTTCTCTGATGACCCATCTATGAGGAAAGCTGTTGGTTTTTCATATATCAATGTAATGGACACAAGCAAGACTTGACAATACAATACAATGTCTGTTTCCATCTGAAACTACGAGAGATGGTGACAGTGGTTACAAAAAATATAAAGACCATCCCATCCTGGTGCCCTAGTAGATCCCAATCAAATTGCAAACGCTCATATCAGCTACATCAGCAGGTCAAGCAGCATCAGATTTAGTTATTCAAAGACTTGCATTTGTAGTCAAACCAACTCAACAAGATTATCTTAATTATCCATCAGTCTTTACACAGGTTACTTTGATTTGGAGGAATTTTGTATTGATGCAACAGATTCTGGGACATAATGATAGCTTTGAAAACAACACAAACAAACAAACAAAACACATTTAAATGTCTTTATTTCTTTAAACCAAACGATCGTTATTTTTAACATGTACTTTTAAATAAACCCTAAAACAACATTGAAATAAACCAAATATATAAAATTATAACTTTTAATGCTAATGTTCTCCAAACCCTATTCAACGCAGCCTAGAACTCTCAAAGAAATACCTGATTTTTTTTCTTGTCTTTTGCATTCCTATGTGATGTTTCATGAAAAATATTGTTGTCGTGTACTTTTGTTTTGCTATCACAGTAGATATTTCTGTATAAACCAGGAAGAGTGAGACATTTTTATTTGTTTGCCAGTTTTCCTGTTTAGAAAACAAGACATGCTCCCTGCTACTCAATTTCTTAAATAAAGGCATTATTTCGAGATACAATGAACTGGCCAATGGATCTCATCAATGAAGAAAGGGGCATTTTGATGAACTCAAATAGAATGATATTTCATTTTATTTGTTTTTTTTTTTCTTACGTGTGAGGTTTAAGACTAGACTTTGTGTGCAGCAGCCTGACTCCCTGCTGCTAGTCTTGGCTGCAGCCTGTCACCCCCCTCTGGCAAATGTTATGGAGAATTGGGAGGAATTTTATGCTTGTCTCTATTTTTTTCCTTTGTCTTCTTTGAAGAATGACTTTGGACATTTTATTTACATATTTAAGCATGGATGAAAGAGGAAAAAGAAAAGCTTTTGCAACGTTGTGGGAATAGCGATATGTTTAGATTAATGGGAAATTTTATTAGACCTATACACTTCCAGTCTGAAGATTTACTTTTTTTAATGTGAAACTTTGTAATTAAACAGGATTTTGTAATAAGTGCATTGCTTTCTTTAAAGATAGATCCACTACCCCCAGCAATAAATATTTGAAGAAATGCCATTAAATGTTTATACCTCTAGGCCCCCGAAAAAAAAACCATTTTCAATAAGAGAAATATTTCACAAACTGAATATTTGATGAGGGATGTAAAAATTTAAAACGTAGCTAAATATTTTGTAGGCATAATACAAAAACAGCATAAATCAAGGCAGACCTTAACTCTCTTGTGGCAATAACTCAAATAGTTAACGTTCCCTACTCCAATAAAATCAACATTGTTATGATAAATATGCATGCATTCTTTATATCAACTTTAAGCTATGTTTTTGGGTTTTTTTAGGGTGGAAAGAAGAACACAATCTCTGAAGATGAAGTATGATGACATTTCAACACTGGAAAAGACAATAATTAATGGTTTTGTAATGTTACTAGTTAATTAAAACTGCCAAAAACAGTAAATATATAGCATCTCAAATTGCAAAACAAACTGTTGAATGTGCAGCAGTTACATTACTTCCAAGCTCTAAATAATGTCTATGAACTTGGATACTTTAATGACCAGATTAAATAACAATTATCATCGCTTCATTGCATATTAGCTTCAGTCAAATTAATGCTGCTACAAACAAGACAGCATTTAATTTTTTTTTTTTAATGTTTGACTATTTCTAACCATCAGAAGTCACTAACCCTATGTAATCACCTCTGAGTTATGGTCAGTATAGCCTGTATTCCCTTTTCATTTAGGTGCAAATACATAGGTAATTGTAGTCGTGCAAAAGGTGTGCGTCAGTTGTATCCAGACACAAGCCTATGCATGAACAAACTGCTGTCTGTTGTGTTTGAGAAGACATGAAAACTGACTGTGTATATACAGTGGTGTATCCTGGTTTTGTGCTGCCCTATGCAGGACAAAACTTAGGTGCCCCCCTCCCTCCCATGCGCGCGACCCCCACCCATCCCTTCCCGTCGCCCCGCCTTCTAAATACACACACACACACACACTGACAGATATGCATACACTAGCTAACAGAAACACACACTGACACACACAGACACACACTCACTAACAGACACACACACTCACAGGCAAGCACACACTCACTAACAGACACACACTCACTAGCAGACACACACTAGCAGACACACACACTCACTGACAAACACACACTAACAGTCAGACACACACACACTCACTAACAGACACACACACTAACAGACACACTCACTAACAGACACACTCACACACACACTAACAGACACACTCACACACACACAGACACACTCACTAACAGACACACTCCACACACACTAACAGACACACTCACTAACAGACACACACACACACTAACAGACACACTCACTAACAGACAGACACACACACACTCACACACACACTAAAAGACACACTCACTAACAGACACACTCACACACACACTAACAGACACACTCACTAACAGACACACTCACACACACACTAACAGACACACTCACACACACACAGACATACACACACTCACTCACATTAACACATTTATTTTTTTTAAGCCCCCCCTGCCTCCTTACCTTTGGGAGTGCTGGGGGGGAAGGGGTTCTCTATCTCCCCGGGGGTCCAGTGGCTGCTGGGCTGGGTGGGCGGGCAGGCGGCTGGCGAGGGAGCTCTTCTTCTGAGCACTCTGCTCAGCTCCCTCGCGCGCCTCAGAGTGAGGCTGGGAGCCGGAATATGATGTCATATTCCCGACCACAGCTTCCCTTTCTAACGCTTGTAGCAACTGAACAGGCTGCCTTCAGAAAGGGAAGTGCTTCCCTGCGCCAACCCCGCCTACTCCCTCCACCCACAACCAACAGCCAGCAGGTTAGTTAGCCGCCAAGGCTAACTAGGCATTTGCCCTGGGCATTTGGGGGGCGGCTTTTTTTGCCGCCCCCTGGAAAATGTCGCCCAAGGCAAATGCGGCTTTTTTTTTTTTTAACATAACGTTTTATATTAATTTGACAAAATGTAGTGTAGCACTTATATATATGAACAATAAAGTGCAACACAGTGCTTATTGTGCAACTTCAAATAATTGCAGAGATGTTTGTAGTGCCACTTCAAACAGTTGCAGAGATTCTTATACATTATAAAGTGTGTATTAGTGCCACTTATATAACTTATTAAAACCTCTTATCTTATAGTGCAGTAACAATGGTTTCCTATGTGGACCTATAATAATAAAAATAATATATATATATCTACAATCTCTTGTGTCTCACACTCAAATGCTCCCAGTCTTGTCCATCCCTCGGTGTAACCTCCGGCTAATCATATAAAAATACCTTGGTAGAGAGCACTCGTAGGACTTGTCGTGGTAAAAAATATGCTTTTATTCAGCAATCAAAAAATCACAGTATGTCAGTGTCAACGTTTCAGTCCAACCGGACTTATATCAAGACTTTATCAAGTATAATGGAAGTATAATGGAAGTTCTAGTTCACAGCTAATGAATGCAAGTGGTTTCCTAGGCAGGTGCAAATACTAACTAAAATCCTATGTTCTAGCATGATTTAAAGCCCCAAGCTCCAAAACCATAAATACTATGCTTGTGCTGGGTGACCAACAAGTACTAAGGCTCATTAAACTGACCAATAAAGTTGACTTCATCAAAAAGTTGTTGACTAGGGAATGTGATATAACTAAGTGTATGATCATATAACAAAAATAAGTAACAGAACTCCAGCAGTCTTTTCCCAAATGTGCTCAATTCCAGGTGTTCACAGTACAATGTACCCACTTACTACTCTCAAGCTAGGTACATCTGAATTATTGCACTTTGAACACCTGGAATAAAGGCATATTTGGATCAGATGTGCAAGGGTTCATTTCTGCTGAACTTTTTATGATAACATAACCAATTGTTTGAAGAAAAGCACATCTGGTTGCTACAATTGGTGCATGGCTTTTTAGGATTGGGTTTAGAAATTAAATCTGCCAGATATAACGGTGTAAATGTAGTTGATTATCACAGTGCTGAATTGCATGCAAGACATTCTTACAGGGACACTGTAAGCACCATAACCACTTTATCTCATTCAAGGGATTATGATGTCAGTAGTTGCTTAATACCATCCCACTGTTCAATGTTAAACATGTTTTCAATTGATTAAACCCTAAATCAGGGTCTCTTGGTGCCTGTGGCTCCCCCACCCCCCTTCATTCTAGGTATGGCTAATGTGAAGTGTAACTCAGCATTAACCAAACCAACTGTTACAATCTATTGAGAGGTTGTGAGCTGACACTCTTAGCATATCACTGTCACTTGTCACTGGTCTGGCTAATGAGAAAGCATTGGCTCAAACTGCAGAGAGGGGCTAGGCTGCAGGCATTCATGGTCTATCCTTCAATGTGAAACCATTCAAAATTGTTGCACATTAAATAGGTAATGCCACTTCTACTTTTACTTCAATGAGATATAGTGATTCTGGTGCCTAAAATGTGCCTTTAAACTACCATACGCTTTTAAATGCCAAATCTATGAAACTATATGAATGCCAAAACATTGGCAAGCATTGGTATACTAGTAGTTTTAAGAATACATTTAACAATGTTAAAGGGACACTGTAGTCACCTAAACAACTTTAGCTTAATGAAGCAGTTTTAGTGTATAGATCATGCCTCTCTGGTTTCACTGCTCAATTCACTGCCATTTAGGAGTTAAATCACTTTGTTTCTGTTTATTCAGCCCTTGTCTCACCTTCCTGGCTCTGATTGACACAGCCTGCATGAAAACAAAAAACTGCCTTTACTTTCAGATGTAATTTACCTTAAACAATTTTATCTCCTGTTCTGTAAATTGAACTTTAATCACATACAAGAGGCTCTTTTAGGATCTTGCAAGCTATTAACATAGCAGGGGATAAGAAAATCTAAATTAAAAAGAACTGGCAATAAAGGAAGGATAAACATTAGATCTCACTTTACAGGAAGTGTTTATGAAGGCTGTGCAAGTCACATGTAGGGAGGTGTGACTAGGGTTTATAAACAAAGTGATTTAACTCCTAAATGGCAGAGAATTGAGCAGTGAGACTGCAGGGGCATGTTCTATACACCAAAACTGTTTCATTAAGCTAAATTTGTTTTGGTGACTATAGTGCTTTTAAGAATTTTCCCCCTGTAATTTCAAAATCCCAAAAGTATTGTATTCTGTTACTGCCCTCAAGTCCTTGATGTAGATCAACTCACTTTAACATTAAATATCTCTATTATTTGCTTTCGTACTTGGAGTTTTTACATTATACTCTATTACCATGTGAATGAGTATAGCATGGAGAAGTGTGGTATACATCCAAGTTTATTGTGTGCCAGATGTTGGGTATGCATGCCCTGTGCCAAAGCTAGCCAGGAACTGACTGTCATTCATTGTGCCTTGGCATGATGGAATGGAACAGCAGAAGTAAACAGAGAAAACACAGAGGACGTGCATTGGTTTGCTGGAAGTAGTAAACAAACATGTTTATCCAGAATTTCAAACTATGCTGTCTCCATAGTTAGATTTACAAACGGCTCCAGACTACAGTAGGTACCTTACTTGCTCCTTAAGGGGAGGTGTTCGTTCCCCCTCCCACTCCCATCCTTTTTTGTTTGCCATGTCACAGTCTCATTTTAAACCAGAAGCACTAAGATAATTATACTACAAGGCCTGTAATGTACTTTTGATCTTATAATAAGTTTACTGTACATTCATTTTGGATGATGTATATTTCGTATATTACTTACAATGTGATTATTGGGTTTTCTATTGCTACTGTTTGTAGCTTATTTTTGAATTTGCTCAATAAAAAAATATAGTGCAAAGAAGTAGTTAACAAAACAGACACATATAGTGTAGTTTAATGAATAAACTACTGGATACATACAATGATTAATATTCAAAAACGGCACAAAGTTATAATTTGACTTGCCATTTTTTATGCTCCAAATATATGAATGAATGACATGAACACATATACCAGGTTAATTACTAAAATAGAAATTCTAAGTAAATTCCAAGTCAATTTCAAATGTAGGACCAGAGTAACAGAACCAAAAAAGCATAGCTGACTTACAGATTTTTTTCTTGTTCGGTTATTTTGACCTTACATGTTCAATTTACTTGGAATTCGCTTTGGATTCTCACTCTAATGAATAACCCAGTTGGAATGAAAATTACGTGGTAATTAGCTGATCACACTTTGAAAATGACATTTTTCGCCTTTAGGAAAGAGAAATGTGCAGCTCCTGTGAAATTATGTGAGAGTTAACTGTGTGAAGTCTTCGTTCAGTTTAAAGACAGAGTAGTAATACATTTTAGTATTTTTTATTTTATATGTGTCAATAGAAGCACTGCATTATTAGTATACCTTAATTAAATACAATAAAATACTATCTGTCAATGTCCAGTTCGTTGTGCAATATTGCAACCTACCTTAAAATGAATATTTCATCACTATGTGAAAAAGTAAATTTTTTTGCTCCTCGGTTATTATTATTATTATTATCGCCATTTATATAGCACCAACAGATTCCCTAGCACTTTATAACACTGTATGTAAAGAGCAATAATTTCTCTTAGACAGTGCACACATTTGCATGTGCATGCACTGAGTATAGTATTTTTAAACAGTGTTGCCTAAAAAACTTTCAATGACGAAAGGACGTCAGAAGAAAACTAGATTCAGGCTGATCCCTCATAGGTATAAATGTCTTACTGGATCTGCTGGTGAAAACACTATAGCTTTAGGAATACAAATATATATACTAATGCTATGGTTTTAATCAGGGCCGGCGCTTCTTATAAGGCGAACTAGGCAGCCGCCTAGGCCGCCATATAGGAGGGGGCGCCCTGCGCCCCCATCACCGACCCTTTAAATTCTGCAGCCGCCTGAGCGCTCTATAGAGAGCGCTCAGACGGCTGCCGCAGTGCCTCACCTCCCCTGCCCTGTAGCGTGGCCGAGCTCCTTTCCGGTCCGCGACCCGGCCAGACTGACAGGAAGTGCACACTGGGGAGATGATTTGATGGGAGGGAGGGGGGGGAAAGATTGATGGAAGGGAGGAGAGGGAGATGATGGGAGGGAGGGAGAAGGTGATGGGAGGAGGGAGGGAGGGAGGGAGGGAGATGATGGGAGGGAGATGATTTGATGGGAGGGAGGGAGATGATTTGAGGGGGATTGATGGGAGGAGGGAGGGGAAGTGTTTGATGGGAGGGAGGGAGATGATTATGGGAGATGATTTGATGGGAGGAGAAGAGATTGATGGGAGGGAGGAGGGAGATGATGGGAGGGGGGAGATGATTGATGGGAGGGGGGAGAAGATTGGGGGGGAGAAGAAGAGAAGATTATGGGGGGAGAAGAAGAGAAGATTACGGGGGGAGAAGCAGCGATTACAGGGAGGGAAGGGGGGAGAAGATTACAAGGGGGAGGGGAGAAGATTACAGGGAGGGGGGAGAAGAAGAGAAGATTACAGGGGGGAGAAGAAGAGGAGAACACAGGGAGGGGGGAATAAGAGGAAAACACGGGGGGAGAAGAAGAGGTGGGAGATGAGAACGTAGGGGAGGGAGAGACCACTAAAGGAGGGAGGGGGCGGTGGAGAGACCACTAGGGGAGGGGTGTGAGGAGAGACCGCTAAGGGAGGGGGGTGGAGGATAGACCACTAGGGAGGGTGGGGGGAGAGGAGAGACCACTAATGGAAAGTCGGGGAGAAAAGGAGACCACTAAGGGAGGTGGGGGGGGAGGAGAGACCACTAAGGGCAGGGGAGATCTCTAAGGAATGGAAGGGAGAGCTCTATAGGACAGGGGGACAGGGAGCTCTTTCACACCACGCACACACACACACACACACACACACACAATGCATCCCTATACACACAGAAACACAACATGCTTCCCTTACACACAGAGAAACACACAATGCAACCCTTACACATAAAGACAATGCATCCTTTGCACATATACACAGAAACACACAATGCATCCCTTACACACACATGCAAACACACACTGCTTCTCTTACACACACACAGAAACACAATGCATCTCTTACACACACTCAACGCACCCCTTACAGACACACACACTGCATCCCTTACATACACAGAAACACACTTTGCATCCCTTATGCATACAAACACAGATTCACACAATGCATCCCTTACACACAACAAGAAACACACAATACATCCCTTATACACACACACACACTGCTTCCACTACACACAAACACACTGCATCACCTACACAAACTGGTATCCCTATACACTACATTCCGTAAGCACACACATTAGATCCTCTACAGTAACACATAACACATCCCCTACACACTCTACTCCCTGTGAGTTCATGGGTGGAACATGTAGGTGGACTTATGGGTGGGCTTTATGGGCATACTCACCGTCAGGCCCTGGGGCCCAGACCTTGAGCTATGTAAGAGGCCCCAAAAATGGAGCTGCTTCCCGTTCTCCCAGAACATTGAATTTTGTGACCACAGTTACAAGCAGCCTCCAGAGATCCTGTTCTACACCAGACCAGTGGAGCCAGACTGCAGCCAGAGCCCATCACCATCCTCATCTGATTGTAAGTAGGCAATCTAGTATATTATTAGTGACACTAATCTCTAATTTACCTCACATTAAATGGACACTATAGTCCCCCAGAACCACTGCAGCTTAATAAAGTTGTTCTGGTGTCTATAGTTTGTCCCTGCAGGATTTTTAATGTAAACACACACTGTGTGCAGCACTGGCATTAGTTCATATGGGTGGGGCATTACGATGTTCCGGGGTGGGGGGGGGGGCGGCAAATCCTTCTTTTGCCTAGGGCGGCAAAAATCCTTGCACCGGCCCTGGTTTTAATTAATTTTGGCATCCCTTTTGTGTTTAAAAAGTGAGATTTACTTACCTATACCTCCTCGGCATGCTGGTCTTACGAACGCCACTCCACTGCCCTGGTTGTGATCAGCAAGACTGATAATCTCAGCTAATCCAATGCTTCTCCATAGGGAAGCATTGGGGCAGGGGAGGTCTAGTGCGCATGAACAGCAAATCGCTGCACAATGTCAATCAATTGCTCTCTAGGAGCAGCATTTGATTGACAACAGAGTCTGACTTGGTTCTCACATGGTAAACACTTCCAATGGCTTTTAGGAAGACAGTCACTATAGGTATGCTTAACCAGGGCTAGATGAACATAAGGGCTAATGGAGCTATAGCTCCAGGCACGTCCATGGAAAAGGCACATTGAAATTAAAAATAAATAAATATTTTGTTTTACTTTTTTTTTTTTACTACTCTTCACATGTATGGGAACTTAGGAGGGATATAGGGTAACAAAACTGTAAACTGCTTAGGAGATTTTAATTAGCTTTGTAAAATTGAAAACTGTATTTTTCTTTACGCATGTGTATGTGCAATGTTCCCTAATCTATATTTTGTATGTATTTTGGTCTTTACAGCAGCACAACGGACTTGTTCGGAGTGTTCCCCCAATTCCCTTTTTTTCTGTGTAGATTTGGAATCCAGACCAGATACCTATTGGGCTCACCACCCCACCCATCCACTACAGGTGCCCTTTTTTTGAAGTGCCACAGGTGGGCATGAATTGGGGAGAGTCTCTGGAGGCAGTTTGAGCATGCACATTAACCCCTTAGTGACCAGACCGCTTTTCAATTTTCCTACCGTTTGGGACCAGGACTGTTTTTACATTTCTGTGGTGCTTGCGTTTAGCTGTAATTTTCCTCATACTCATTTACTGTACCCACACATATTATATACTGTTTTTCTCGTCATTAAATGGTCTTTCTTAGATACCTTTATTTTCATCATATCATATAATTTACTATAAAAAAATGATAAAATATTATGAAAAAATAACACTTTTTCTAACTTTGACCCACAAAATCTGTTACGCACCTACAACCGCCAAAAAACACCCATGCTAAATAGTTTATAAATTTTGTCCTTAGTTTAGGAATACCCAAGTAGCACTTTTGCTATTTTCAAAAATTCTTTTTCAGAATTAACGCAAGTTACATTGTAACAGTAATATCTGTCAGGAATCCCTGAATAACCCTTCACATGTGTGTGTATATATATATATATATATATATATATATATATATATATTATTATTATTATTATTATTTTTTTTTTTTTAAAAGAAGACAACCTAAGGTATTAAACCTGGGGTATTTTGACTCTTTTCATGCTCTTTTCATGCAACCATTTTACCACCAATCTATGCCAAATTTCTAAAAAAGTTAAATAATTATGATTTTTTGACACACATAGCAATTTAAGAATACATGCACTGAGAACTTTAAGGTTTACTGCCAAAGAACACCCCAATATGTGTTCAGCAACATTTCCTGAGTACAGTGATACCACCCATGTATAGGTGTGTCAGGTTCTGGGTGGGCTAAAAGACCTTATTTGGAGGGTGCGCATTCCAGTTTTCCAACTTGGAATTTTCACAGCTGATCATTATCCTATTTAGGACATTTTTGAAGCTGGCCAATGTAATTTACCGCCATCAAACCATATATTTTGTTAAAGTAGACAACCCACATTATTCAAAATGGGGTATGTCCACTCTTTTTTAGTAGCCACTTGGCCAAAATTAGCGTTTATATTTTCTTTTTTGTGTGCATCTTTTACACATAAACTGCCATTTCACTGATGATATTATCAGTATAATACATTTTACTGCTCTAAAACTCATATTTGTGTAGAGTAATGTCTCATGAGTATGACAGTACCCCTCAAGTATAGGGTTTATGGTGATTTGGAAAGTTACAGGGTCAAACATAAGATTTGCCAATTTCAGTTATTTGCCAGATTGTCCATGTTGCATGGCAGCCCAGAAATGAAAATAAAATGAAAATAAACCCCACCATGACATACCATTTTAAAAAGTAGGCAGCACAGGGTATTCAAAATGGGGTATGTCTTGTATAGTAGCCACTTAGTCACAAACACTGGCTACTTAGCATTTATATTTGTTTTTGTGTGAAAAAATGCAAAAAATGAATATGAATGCTAACTTTGGCCAGTGTTTGTGACTAAGTGGCTACTAGAAAAAACTGGACATACTCTATTTGCAATACTGTGGGTTGTCTTCTTTTGCAAATGGTATGCCATCATGGGGGTAATTCTTATTCCTGGGCTACCATACGGTCTCAAAAGCAACATAACCAATTTGGCAAATTTCAATGAAAATATGAAATGGGCAAGCCTTATATTTGACCCTATTACTTTCTAAAACACTATAAAACCAGTACATGGGGGTACTATTATACTTGGGAGACTTTTCAAAACAGGAAAATGTATCACAACAATGATATCACCAGTAA